ATCCTCTGTTACAACTCTATTCTCCCTGCCTTAAGCCCCTGACATTTTACACCTATGCATGTGTATGACAGTTAGAAACCCAGTTACAGCTAAATGGTACAGAAGGATATCCGGTTTCTTTAACCTCCTGCCACAATTAGAGAAAATGTGTTCCTTGTTTGCATGATGTTTAATGAAAAAACATAACTAGGTTACAGTTTAAGGTCATGTAAATGAATTAGTGGTTTTGAGGTGACACATTTAAACATCTGCCCCTGAATGTGGTGACTAATTCACTGGCTAACCTCATTACTGTGGCACAAAGATATTTTATTTTTTATTGATTAGCTGAAAAACTGTGTTGTAGCTGGTCATGCTTGTATTTTTCAGTATTATCAGTGCAGTCTGTTTGTCAGGAACTCACACTGATCTGATAGATTCCTTCAAATGCTGACATTCTGGGGCTGTGACATTATCACCCGGCAACAGCACAACATAACCTCATGTACAACAACTGTCTGGTTTGCCTCAACAGATTTCGTTTTTCTATCTGAGTGACACATATACCTTCAGCCAATCAGAAGCAGAGAGGAAGCAGCTGGCTCTGTTATCACCTGTCCAATCTCCCGCCACGCCACACACAGGAAGTGAGAATGAGATGGAGGCTGTAAGGCTGGTGTGTGATCAGACGGGACGGCAGGTCCTCAGCAGGCACCAGCCTCTGAAAACCAATGAGCTGACGGCACTCGTCCGTCGCCACATTTCTCCCGTAATAAAGAGCACCGCGCTGTATCAGTGCTTATGACTCACATGCTCTCCCAAAGTGCTTGTCATATCTCCAGCTCAGTGTGGCAGCAAACAGTCGGAATCAAATCCCAAACCTCAGCCTCATCAGTGCTCAGCTCACTGAGTAATGGCTCATCTCAATTCAGCTCAGTGCAGACGAACATGTGGTGTCCCGAAACATCAATACAGCAGCAAAGTCCAGCAGCAGCGATTAGTTTTAGTGTACTTTTGTGCCAATGAGGGTGCAAAATATCTCTATAACCCCTGCAGGATTATTGAGTTTTTGTGTAAAATAGTAGACCTCTATTTTTTTAGTTATTTTTTTTGCCAAAACATACAGTGAAGGTGTCAAACTCAAAACAAATTAGCATGAAACTGCAAGTTCATTGGTCTTCCTGGATAATGAGATGATCAATGATGAATCACAACTCAAGACCAACTTTTAAGCTGTGTTTAATTTGATTTATATTAATTTTTCTATTTATTCATTTATACACCTTACTCTTCTATTATTGTGCTATTTAGCTATTTTGAAATTTGGA